GAAACGCAGCTCCTTATGGTTGTGTTGGGTTTCTAAGAACTCGTAGCATAGTCAAACCAATCACAAAGCAGAAGGTCTAGAAGTCTGTCTAAAGTCCGCAGCCCTCTTAAATTTCCCAGCTGGAAGAACGTGTTTTATCTCGGTTAGCCTCAAATATTAAAATGAATGGTTTTCCTCTCCCTCTCAACTACATATCTGGCTAATGACTTATACGTCAAGAAAAAGGAAGTGTATGCTTCTATATATATATATTTTTAAAAACTTTTCTATTGGGTATCAAACCACACAGGAATAAAAGTAAGATGGAGTTGATACTAAGCCAACTGACATCTCTTCAGGGTCTCACACCTTTCAGGGAATGTTTGGTTGTGAAGTTCGGAACAACAAAAGCAGTGGCGCATTCTGGAGGTATGCCTATGATGGACGAGACTTCATTGAGTTCAACAAAGAAATTCCAGCCTGGGTTCCTCTGGACCCAGCAGCCCAAAACACCAAGCAGAAGTGGGAGGCAGAAAAAGTCTATGTGCAGCGGGCCAAGGCCTACCTGGAGGAAGAGTGTCCTGAGATGCTGCAGACATACCTGGAATACAGCAAGACTCACCTGGACCAACAAGGTACTCACTGTTTCCTGCCTATGCCTTGGTCCCCAGTATTGATCTGAGAAAGACCCAAGTGACCTCAGGTTGGGAGCCTAGGGGAACATCTCACACTGCTTCCCATCAGCCCTGAAATTCCTTTGAGCCTTTTGGCGCTCACATCCTAAGACTCTTTGATTCCCCAGGACAAGAGGTGGAGCCCAAAATGAACAGTGATAAGATTTCAGGCAGGTTAAGACAAGATAAGCATTGATTTAACAGTATGGCTTCCCTAATACCCAATTTGAGGGGCTCAGATGGCGCTGTCGGGGAAGCGTTGGACTACTAATTGCAAGGTCAACTGTTCAGGCCCACCAGTTGCTCTGCAGGAGAAAAATCAGGCTATCTGCTCCCATAAAGACTAGCCAAGCCTCAGAACCCCTATATGGGGTCAGTATGAGTCAGAACCAACCCAAGGGCTGTGGGTTTGGGCTTGAGGGGATCGGTGGCCCGTGGGTTAGGCATTAGGCTGCTAACCCCAACTATAGCAATTCAAGCCCACCGACAGCTCTACAAGGTAAAGATAAAACTGTGTGTTCTTCTAAAGACTGACCGTCCCAGAAATCCCATGCAGGGTTTCTCTGAGTCAGAATGACTCTATGGCAGTAATTTGAGGGGTTTAATACAGCCAGAATGCTTCTTAGAGGCAAGGATAGCACGATTTCTTATCACATACTTTGGACATGCTATCAGGAGACACAGTCCTTGCATAAGGACATCATGCTCGGTAAAGTGCTGGGGCAACAAGACAAGATGAAGGCCCTCAACAAGATGGGTGGGCAGGGTGGCTGCCGCATGGAGTTCAAACATCAGAACAAGGGTGAGGTATGTTGTTCTGTTGTCTGGAGGGTCGCTAAGAGTTGGATCCGTCTCAGCGGCACCCAACAATAACAACGGTGCCCAGTTTATGAATGAGGATGCGAGCGGTCCGGAAAGCTAGGTGAACACTGTCTGTAAGCCTCAGACCTGGGACTCCAATTCCGTTTTTCAGATTGCAAATTGGTATTTGTTTCCCAGGGTGACTGTAGCAAAGTGCCGCCAACCACGTGTCTTAAAACAACAGCTGCTTTCACAGTTAGGGAGACCAGAAGTCCAAGAGCAAAATATCGCCACAGCCATGCTCACTCTGATGACGCTGAAGAATATTCTTCCTTGCCCCTTCCTAACTTCGGGCAGTAATTCTAGTCATTCCTGGGCATGTAGACACATCACGCCAATTGCTGCCTCCATCTGTAGGTGTTATCTTCCTTCTAGATGTGTATCTCTGGGTGTCTTCTCCTTTCTTCAAAGGCCATCAGTCATATTGGATTAGGGCCCACCCTCACGCAGTATGACCTGATCTTTACCTGATCACCTACATCTGCAAAGACCAAGTTTCCAAATAAGGTTGCATTCTGAGGTGCTGGGTGGACATTAATTTGGGGGAGGGACGTGAGGGGGTCTGTACCCTTCAATCCAGGATCGCATCCCATGGTCATTGCCTTCTTGGTTTGGTTTTGAAAAGAGGAAGGGGAGGGTGCAAAATGCCCGGAAGGATGAAAATGAGCAAAAGGGAGCAAGATTGATCGCCAGACACCGGCAATTGAGAAATAATGAGAAAGCAGTCTACAGATGGAACAGGGAAGGTTTTGATGCATAGGAGCACAGGTCGAGCCGGGAGCCTAAATTGAGATCGAAAGAAGGAAGGGGCTGTAAAAAAGAGGTTAGGGGTAAAATAGGAACGTTTCTGGAGGAATTCATCCCTACTACACGGTGGGTGGGGAGAACTGGCAAAAAGAAATGACCACGGGCATTCCATGATCCAACAGGGATCCAAAAGCTCATGGGAAGGCTCAACCTTCTCTGTTATTCACAAAGGATTCTTAGAGGAGATAAGGACAAAGCTCCGTGCTGACCCTCACTAGTCACCGACAAACAAGGAGGAAGCGGGGGAAGAGGCACGGGCAGAGAGACATCCATGCCAAAGCCTCACGATCCATGTTCTCTCTCTCCTCCACAGATCCTCCTTCTGTGTCACTCACCAGCCACACCAGCCCGGGGAAGGCGAGGAGCCTCAAATGCCTGGCCTATGACTTCTACCCCCGAGAAATTGATATGTACTGGACTCGGGCCAGTGAGGTGAAGATGTCTGAGACAGAGAAAGATGTTCTTCCCAGCGGAAATGGTTCTTACCAACTTTCGGTGGTGGTGGAAGTCCCTCCTGAAGACAGAGAAACCTACACCTGCCACGTGGAACACAGTAGAATAAGCCAGTCTCACAGAGTGCTGTGGGATGGGGCACAAGAAGCCAGGGGTGAAGGTGGCTTGGGGGCTAAGGCCCAATAATCACCCTTTCTGCCTGGCATGAGAAGGACAGACTTCAGCCATCAGTGCCAACACCATCGGTGAGATCCGGGAAAGATGTTTAAAGGGACAGAGAGGGAATTTGGAGGCAAAAGGCTTGATGAGAATGGAGCTGCCTCTGGCTGCCAAATCACCTTACCTGTTGTTTCTTCTATGAAATCAAAGCAATGATTGCTTCACCTAATTGACACAATACTGAATGGCAATTTTAAAGAGTATAATACTGTAAACAGATGAGTGGAACGTATTATTCATTCGGCCCCTAGCACGTTTGACATCTTTGAAATGCTTGGGCAAACGGAAGCGTCCTTTGGACCAAAGGAATGAGCAAAGTGCCAGCAAAGGCCCTCCAGGAATTATAGTCAAGATACACTTTTTATTATAGCAAGGGCTACATTTTACACCCTCTGACGCATATGTGCAGAAGAAAAGGGGTCTCTCTTCATTGTTCGTGACCCAACACGTGTCTCTCAGATCCTCATAAAACTGAAAACATGAACTCTTTCCTAGTAAAAATAGCTCCACACTCTCTTCCACTTTAAATACTCTCTGACATCCAGTTTCTCACAGTTCAATTTTCTTCCCTTGACAAGGTTTTATCCTTCAGTCTTGTCCTTCCCAAAGGCATGTCCAAATGGTGTAGGGTGACCTGCCACGTAGTCCCTTGGTACTGTTCAGGTGTGCACTGCTGGTGTCCACAGATATCACCACGGCGCCTCTGGTTGTCACGTCTGGAACCTACCTGTTCAATACAAGCCCAAGCCTCTTCGTTTTGTGCCTCCATTCCTCTCACCACTTCCTCTCTCCCAAAGGGACATCACCCTCCACCTCAGCTGTTCTACCTTTCCCAAGCCATGTTGATCTTGGAAGTTCCTTTGAGAGATTTCAATCTCCACAGGACATAACCCCAGGCAAGAAGGAGCTGACCCTATTGTTCTCGGGTGAGCTGTAAATCCAATGTGTGTGTGTGTGTCATTTTTGTGTTTGTTTCTAACTGAGTCCCTCATCGTCCGCTACAAGTTTAACCCCCAAAGGACCGAGCAGAACTCTCACATCTTTTCATTCCACACTCTTTCATTCCACTATCCAAAAGTATCACCTACCTATGACTGTACATTTCCATCTTATATGAAAAGAATTTTCTATACATCCTAGCCTCATCCCCCCCAACTTTGGATTACTCTAAAGTCAACCCTCACAGTTCAGTTCTTTAGAATTCGGAGATTGGGCTAAATTTGAAAACTTCATAGATATCTATGGGCTTCAAGAAGTTTGTTTTAAAATGGAGTCAAAAGAGAATGGAATTGTTCCATGAACTCTTTGAAGCATTCTTATACAGATATTTTGACTCTAGTTGGCAAGTCAAAGCTGAGGAGCAGCTTGTCTGGTCAACAGGAACGCCACATCCCCTCCTCTGAGACAAAGTCCTATCTGAAGAGCAGGTAGGTTTGAGGGAAGAAAAGCCAATAGTCAAAATGGAAACATACAGCAATGGTTATTTGAAAACAAAATACTATGACATTTTGAATAAATAAAGGGATGACATTTTCAAATCAAGGAGAAAGCAAAAAGTCAACATGAACAGGGCAGGGGAAAGCAGATTGGAATTTGAGATTTAGAACCACTAGAGTCTGGAGAGATTGAACAGGGTGGAGGAGGAAGAGGAAATATCAGAGTACTCAGGTGTTGAAATGGAAGGGAGCAACACAGGGCCACTCAAACCCAGAGAAAACTTCCTGGAGAGGTTCACATTTCAGATCAAGTGTAAAGGCTGGGAAACCTGCCAATAAGAGGTGGGAAGATTGCTCCTTACAGGTTGGGGGGAGATTGCCTGAGGGGAGAGTCACAACAGCCTGACAAAGGGAGAGTACCGGAAAATGGATGGGGCTGGGCCTTGGACATCAAGTGGGGCACAAGGTTTCTGTCCTGCATCAAGACAGGGAGGAAGGCATGGTAAGAATAAGGTACAGCTGTTGACCCCTCCCCATCGAAAGCAAAACAAAGTGAATAAAAAGAAATACTCAAGGAAAGCAAAGGATTAATGGACCACATGAAACAGTCTCCATGACTCTGACACCAGAAACACTCTGAAAAGGACAACATTGGAGGTCTTGGATAGGGTGGGAGGAAAATTGAGGTGGGGGAGGAACTAAAAATAAAGGTAAAGATGAGTTTATTGGTGTTGTTAAGATTGGAAGAATCCCCAAAATAACTTTAGACACACTTCAAACCTGGAACTTCATTCTATTAGCTCAACTCTTAGCCAAACAATAAGCAGTCGTAAAAAGTGAACAGTAACACCAGAGAGGTGTGCACTCCTTAGAACAATCAACCATTTGAGATCAAAAGAGCAACATCTGTCCAGAGACAAAGTTCAGAAGGCATAAGGGGATGGGAAAGAAGGAGGAATGGAAATAGAAACCCAGGGAGGCAGTGGGGCGAGTGCCGTTACATTGTGGGGATTGCAATGAAGGACAAGAAACAGACAGGGAAGGAATTGTTGAATGGGAAACTGGCTTGCTCTGAAAACTTCCACCCATATCATAGGAATTTTTTAATGGATAGGACAACTAAAAAGAATATCAATAAATAAATAGAAACTATGAGAGCCCCAGTGGTGTAGTGGGTTGTGGGTTGGGTTGCTAACCACAAGAAATAGAAAATAAGAACAATGCTGTTAACCAACACGATCTAACAGTCATATATATAGAACACTCCATCCAACACCAACATAATATACATGCTTCGCCAGTGCTCACAGAACATCCTCCAGGATAGAGTATATCTTAGGACACAGAGCAAATCTCAGTAAGTGGTATTAAAGTCATACAAAGTATCTTTTTGGATCACAGTGGAATTAATTTAGAAATGAGTAATAGAAAAATGGGAAATACACAGAAATGTGGAAGGTTAATAATGCTCAAAACCAAACTCATTGCCATCAAATCAATTCTGACTCATAGCAACCCTACAGGACAGCGTAGAACTGCCCCTGTGAGTTTCTGAGAATGTAACACTTGATGAGAGTAGAAGCTCAATCTTTCTCCCAGAGTGGCTGGTGGTTTCAAACTGCTGGCCTTGCAGTTGGCAGCCCAATGCATACTGACTATACCACCAGGCCTCCCAATAACACACACTACTAAACAACAATAATATGTAAACAAGGAAATCAAGAGGAAAATTAAAAATAAGAGTTAAACAGAATGAAAACACAATATACCTTAAATTATGGGCTGCAATAAAGGCAATACTCAAATAAAAATATACAAGGGGGGACCAAAAAAAAAAAAACCAGAATGAATTGAGCTGGGTGGAACGGAGCTTTCGTAGCATGCATTTTTCCTACTAGGTAAGCATCAAGCAACTCACTCTGAGTTAGTGCACCCAGTGGCGTTGCCTGGGAAGGTTCCCTCTGATCACAGTGAATTTTTCATAAAAGCCGTTTCACTTGAACCTCATTTTTTGTGATGGCTGATTTAAAAGAACAGCGTGCAGCTGTGAAATTTTGTTTCCTGCTTGGGAAAAATGCCACAGAAACTGTGATGATGTTGAACACAGCTTACAAGGACAGGACTATGGAAAAAACTCAAGTGAATGAGTGGTTTTTCTCGTTTCCAAAAAGGTGAAATGTTAACTGATGACAAACCTCGTTCTGGACATCCATCAACTTCTGAACAGACAAAAATGTCAACTCACAGTTCATTTGGAGTTCATTCCACCAGGTCAGACTGTTAATCAAGGTTTCTATTTAGAGGTACTGAAAGGATTGGGTAACAGTGTGCGACCAAAAAAGGGCTGATTTGTCACAGATCGGAGACTGGTTTTGCCACCACCACAATCTACCTGCTCATGCAGCCATCTCAGTGTGCCAGTTTCTGGCAAAACACAGTGTGCTTCTCTTGCCTCATCCACCTTACTCACCTGACTCGATCCCTGTGGCTTCTTTTTGTTTCCGCGAACAAAGAGGAACATGAAAGGACAGCAATTTGAAGATACAAGAGGTGAAGAACAAAACATTGACATTGGAAGTGCTGTCAGCCATCCAAAGAGATGAGTTTGAAAAATGTTTCCAAGAACGGAATTGCAGATTTGACAAAAGTATTAAGTGTAATGAAGAATACTTTGAAGGTGATAAGGTTGTTTGTGAAAAAAATGAAATACATAGCTTTAAATTTTGTAGGGTTTTTTTTTTTTTTTGGTCCCTCCTCATATAGCAGTAAGTGTCTTTTTTTTTTTTTTTAAAGAGCAAAGACCCCGAAGTGATCATCTAATTCTACAACTTGAGGAACTAGAAAAAGTGTAAACTAAACCCGAGGCTACCAGACCAAACCAAAAAAACAAACTCACTGCTGGTGAGTCGATGCCAACTCATAGTGACCCTACAGAATGGGGTAGAACTGCCCCTGTGAGTTTCTGAGCCTGTCACTCTTTGTGGGAGTAGAAAGCGCTGTCTTTCTCCCTCAGAGCGGCTACTGATTTCGAACTGCTGACCTTGTAGCTAGCAGCCAGAAGGAAATAATAAAGATCAGAATGGGAATAAATGACAGAGTAGGAAATGTGTAGAGAAAAATCAACAAAACTAAAAATTGTGGGTTTTGTTCATGAAAATGACCAACTTTGGGGTAGATTGGCAAAGAAAATAGAAATTCATTCTCTGCCATCAAGTCAATTCTGACTGCTAGTGCCCGTATAGGACAGACTAGAACTGCCCCTGTGGGTTTCTACGGCTGTCAACTCTTTACAGGAGGAGAAAGCTCCAGCTGAAGAAAATTAGCAAGGAAATGCAAATATCTGAAAATACAGGCAAAAGTGGGACGATTACAATAAACCCTGCAGGAATAGAAATAATTGTAAAGGAATAGTTGTATGCCAACAAGTTCTATAACCTAAGAGTAAATGGACAAATTCCCTGAAATATAAAAAATCCCCACATTGGCGCAAGGAAACATCGATCTCAATAGACCCTTAACAAGTGACGAGACTTAATTAGTAATCAAAAACCTCCCAAAGAGAAGTTCCTGGACCAGATGGCTTCACTGGGGAGCTCTATTAACCATTTATGGAAATGACCTAAGCCCTACTTAAATTCCTCCAAAAAATAAAAGGGGAGGGAACACTACCTAACTCATTTTATAGGGTAAATATTACCCGGATACTAAAGCCAAACAAGGATACCATGAGGGGAAAAAAAACTATAGACCCAAATCCCTAATGAACATAGATGCGGAAT